TCAACTTTTTAAAGAAAATGACAAATATGACACATGTTGGTGAGATACTCAGTTGTATTTTGGATAATATCTGGGTAAAATTGCTTCTGAAATTTGTCTTTCTCTGTCTGGTACATTAATTTCTTGAGAAGAGTATCAGTTGTTCTGGAGCTCTGGTGTTGATATTGGATCATACCACTGTATACTTACTGGGACAAAAAAATTATAACAACGCCCATCAGGTAAATTTTTGTAATTACACATGTAATATGACCTAGTGGACTTGTAATTGACAGGAAGTTCCAAAATTATAACTTCATGGTTACATAACCTAAGAAAGAAATATAGATTAAATGTTGCTGTTTTAGATTTTGAATTGGTCCAATAAAGTGCTTTATTAATGACTTATGTCAAATATTTTTGTAAACAGAATCATACACAAGTCTCCAATTCATATGGGACTTATGAAACCAAAGTTTTCATTTGACCTCTGCAGAGGTTTGCCCAAATGCAGAATTCTAGAATCTCTTTAATAAATTCAATATATAGTAGAAATTAATGTGAGATCATGTAATATATATTGTAATGATCATCTCTCTTTACTCTAGTGATACTGTCGTTGACTTAACTATCACAGACGCTATTTTACAAGGTAGTGAGTGGGAAAGGGGGTCAGTGACAGTCCATGAAAAGGCTGCATCCTTCATTAATTAACCAATGCAATATTCACTTTTTTTGGTGATCTTACTTCAATATATCAAGCTATTGATAGTAAAGCTGACACTTTCTAAATATTTTTTTTTTTCAATTCAAACAGCATTAACATATTTCACATTCAAATATTCCTGGTAAACCAGAGGGATTTTGGCGCCCACCATTGTTTGATCTTTTATATGCATTTTGAAAGTTGGATCTTTTCCCTTCATTTCTCTTCTCTTCTGATTTGCTCTTAATGATAAGACATTTGAACATGGTGATGATAATCTTTACCTGCCAAATCCAAAATAGCCATCTGGAAGCCATTTTTGTTTCTTCTGATCAGTCCCAAAATCAAATGAGAACAAGGAGAGACCAAAGGGAACATACATATGAAATTTGAGAGATATCTGTTCAGTACTTCTTAAGAAATAGCTATAACAATCTTTACTGTACAAAATCCAAGATAGCTGCCTGTCTGCCATTTTATTTTTTTTCTGATCAGTCCCAAACTTGAACAGGCACAACTAGGGACCTAAAAGGAACCTATACATGAAATTTGAGATCCACAGAGTAGTTTTCAAGTAATAGTGCTTAACTATCGAAGTCAAAATCCAAAATGGCCACTTGTAGGCCATTTTGTTTTTTGTGAAAAGTATAAAAATCAAACAGGCACAACTAGGAATCAGGAAAGTATACACATGAAATTTGAGAAAGATCCATTTAGTACTTCTCAAGAAATAGAAATAAAAAACTCTCAAAGATAGAAATGCAATATGGCCGTCTGTCTGCCATTTTGTTTTTCTGATCAGTCCCAAAATTACATGGGCACAACTAGAAACCTGGGGAACATACATATGAAATTTGAGAGCGATACATCACTTACTTTTCAAGAAATAGCGATAACAAACTCCATTGAAAAAATAAAAGATGGCTGCCAGTTGGCCATTTTGTTTTTTTGATCAGTCCCAAAATCAAATGGACACAACTAAGGACCAAAGGGAACCTATATTTTCAATTTGAGAAAGATCCATCCTTGACTTCTCAAGAAATAGCGATAACAAAAATTGTTTAGAGATAGACAGAAGGACAGATGGACCACGGAAGCAGAGCGATTTAAATAGCGGACCATCTGATGATGGTGGGCTAATAAAATATAAGTCCTTTGTTTTAAGTTGAATAAAGTAACGGAAGAGGGAAATACAGTACATTTAACAGATGTTTTTTAAGGTAAAAGGCGGAAAAGAAAGTCTTCAAAAGTACGCAGTACAAAATTCATTTTGTTTTTCTGCAGACATATTTTGAGACAGACAACCACCTACAATCCTTTTTCAATGTTTATCTTCAAATTTTATAAAGATAAGGTAACCAAATCGACCCCCATCTTTACTTTGCAGGGAGTGTTCATGTAAGTCAGGCTATCTGATCTACATCCTGCTGTGTTATGTGGATCAGACAGCAGAAAGCTATATACCTTCAAAAGTGCTTTTCTCCCAACCACTGACTTATCCTCTAGATTACAGGGTAAAATAACCATTTTTTCCAAGGCCAAAAATACATCAGAGTATATGTTCAGTTGATAAATATCATAACCAGCTAGAAAAAAAAAAAAAAAAAAAGAAACTTGATGAAGAAAGTTGGATGGAAATCAAGATTTGAGATTAGAGATTCTAATATATTTAGTCTCAGTAATTCTGCTATTTTTGGCAACATGCAACAACTTTCTGAAATGCAATATGTTTAATAGAAGAAAGTCCCAAACCAACTTAAGCAGCTTTCAGCTTCCTTAAAATTTGACAACACCTTCAGCTCACATATTCAAGATCACATTGGATAAATTTGATAAATACTCAAATGACTTTCTTCTGATAAACCAAAAGATAAAAATAATGAATAACGAAACAGTTCCACTTAAAAAAAAAACCTTCAGCTTCCCACATGTATATAGAAAGTTTAACACAGGTAAACACAATACCTTTCTAGCATTAAGAAACCAACTGAAGTTACAGTTTAGGAACTGAATGATCTACTGTTGAAAAAAGAACCACCCATTTGTTGCTGTGTCAAGTTTATATTGATATATGTGTAATAGTATACTTTGGGGGAAATGGACTTTTTTCAAGTTCGTAAAAATAGACTGCTGTGACAAAGTATTCTTTATATTTTGTCATTGTGGCCTAACATAGAGATTAATGTTAAAATAGCAGAATTTGTAGTGTATGTTTGATATCAATGTCAATAAATTATATTAACTTTACTGATAAATTGACTTTCTGAAATTTGAAGCTTGCCCTTCAGACCCCAGGGGTGGGTCAGTCTGTGAAGTTTTTATTTACCATCAAGCTATCTGATTTCTAATTCTATTTTTTATATAAATAAAATGATATTAAACTGTACCCTAAAGTGTTATTTTCCTATATAAGGTATATTCACTCCCTTATGGAAAATATATATATATTTATATACATTTAAGTAATATCAACGATATGGTCCAATGTATGTACTGGATCCTAACAAACGTTTGTTGTATATATTACATGATAGATATATGATCAATGAAGTAATAACAACAGTATGGACAAGGAAATTGTCAAATCATTTAGGAAATCTTCCCCTTTTATAAAGACACAAAACATTACAAATGTTACAACATAGAACATATAAAGAACAAGAGGCCCATGGGCCTTAACGGTCATCTGACAAAAAGCAAGCCAAACCTAGAAAATGGGTTGAGGTCATTCACTTGAACAAACTTAGTAGCACTTCATCCCAGCATGTCACAGGCCCAATATCTACACTCTGAGCCTTTTGGTTAATGAGAAAAGTTGTTTAAAGATTTTAACATATTTGACCCCTGTGACCTTTAAAATGGGTCAAGGTCATTCATTTGAACAAACTTGGTAGAGCTCCATGCCAGTATCCTCTGTGCCAAGTATTAGCCCCCTAGAAATTCTAGTATTTGAGAAGAAGTTGTTTGAATGAAAAGTTTACACACGGCGCACGGCGGACGACGACGACGGACGAAGCACGATGGCTATAGGTCATCTTGACCCTTTGGGTCAGATGACCTAAAAATCACAAACTCTGACTGAGAACTATATGAGAACTATAGTGTTCCAATAATCCCAGTAATGCTGAAACAGCCAATAGCAGTAGTGTGGGTCGTTATTTCTAGCTTACCGCTAACAACCAGGTCTTAGATGTTTTGTCAGCCTGCGATCAGCTAGTATTGGTGGTTCCGTTAAAATGCCAATGTTTCTGGAAAATTGTTGACAATGGTGACATATCAAGGTGAAAGTGAATGTGGAATAAGTGTCCAAGAAAGTGTTTTTCACATTAGATGTGATAGTACTGTGGAATTTGTTCACAGAACATGAAATCTTCAAGAGGTTGATCCGAGGGGTACTTTCATATAAGATTTTAGATCAATCCATCCTGTACTTCTCAAAAAATAGTGATAACAAATATCCTTGTAAACATTCAAGATGGCCGCCTGTTGGCTATTATTGCTTTTCAAATCTGTCCCAAAATCAATCAAGCACAACTAGGGACTAAGGGCAACATATCGGGGTACATCTAAAATCTGAGGACAATCTATGCAGCACTTGTCAGGATATAGTGATAACAAACTTTTATTGTTGAGATCCAAGATGGCCACCTGTCGGACATTTTGTTCTGATCAGTCCAATGTCGGGTAAGCACAACAAAGGACTAAGGGGAATCTACACATGAAATCTGACAGAAATCCAGTTCTTTTCAAGAAAAAGCTACAACAAAACTTTCGTTGCTGTAATCCAAGATGGCTATTTGTCGGCCATGTAAATCAGCAAATCAGAAGGTCAACTGCATGTCAATCTCTTATGACAGAGGTCATTCATACTCGCTGGAAAAAGGTTGAAAACTTTGACAACCTACAAATTAAACTTTGACATCATTCATGGTCACTAGGAACAAATTTGTTATAACACTCAAATTAACTAAAAGGCCTTGAATAGTTTACTAGTGTCTTGAAGATGTCCTGTTCTTATTGAAGTCTTCCAGGACCCATTAGGTAAATGTAATGTAGTCAGGAGTATAAGATTAAAGAGTCTGGTTTTAATTCCAGTTTGATTCAATTTAAGGTCAACGAAAAGAATTGAAATGTAAATGTATTGCAAAAAAGCATTGAATGCAGGTGAACGTTATCTTTTGATTATTATATCATGCAGTTTGAAGAATGATAGTCACAGCTTCTTAAAAGTAAAAGTGATCTTTGTACAACTTGTTGTTTATAATGACGATCATTGTATAAACATCAATTTGAAAACAAAAAAACAAGACCAATATTACTATTTTCTGATTAAATTTAATTTATAGATAAAAATAAAACAAATCATACATGTTCAGTGAAACAAAATTCAAATACAGTGACACTTAGATTATTTTTAAACGACTTCCCCTGATTTATCAAATCGGACGAAGTAAACAAGATATTCATGTACCAGCTCCGGAAAAATGATTTGCATCTTGCAAAGGTCAAAGTTTGATAATTCACATGTAAGGCACTAGAAGGATGGTAACAGTAACTTTGATAAAATTTCTCATTCCTTAGTAATTTAGAATTTAACATTTCTCTGACGACGTTAAGTTTAGCTATAAAACTCTGATCTAAGTTATGTACAGTAACATTAATATAACACATCATACACCACTGTAGTGTTATCCCAAACCATCAAATATATACCATCATCAATCCAAAACACTTCTCTTTTTTTAATCATTTTTCATGCCTTGATCTCTACTTAAATATAAATGACATTTAATCCTGGGATTAAGATCATGATTTTTTTTCCACTGTCAAATGTCTTAATAAAGATATATGACCTATTTACAATCCAATGATAAAACACCACTGTCCAAAAGAATATTTAGCAAGAAGTATTATAATTTAAACTTTACATAGAAAAAGCCGGTCGGATAAATAATAGCCTTGTGTGTGATGCACATTTCTACAGAACACACACTTATATATAATCATAATTTTATCAACATCCAACATGGTCGGTCTCCATCACATGGCTAGACAACTGTCTTTGATGGAAAAATCTACTGTCTGTAGATCTAATAAATGAGCACATGGTCATAATTTGATTACACAGTGATGAACAAAATATAAATTTAGGTAAGGTTGTTTTACACTGCACATAAAAAACCAAGAGTTAATGATAGACTGTTGGGCTCCAGGCTCCAACATTTGTGTAATATCTGTGATACATAGAAATAGGATGACAATACAATGTCAAAATATCACTACACTACATCATTTATAATTACATCTACATGTATGCAAAAATTTAATGAACCCTGTCAATATTTAATGTAACTGCCTTACATTAATATTTATACAAAAGGATCTCGTGCAAACACAGAAATCCCGTCTTTTTATTCACAAAAACATCAACAACCTGGATGACATCTTTGCCTCCAGCTTCCCTCCCTTCAGTCCAAACCACCAAGGTTCTTTGTACAAAAATGGCGAGACATTCACTGACAGCAAGCTGTTAATCAGTGTTAAATATATCTCTTTGGTTACACTGTTCTGTTTTATACCGACAAGAGGCCAAGAGGGCCTCTTTCACCCACCTGGCTTTGTTTGGTTGCAATTGCTTTGTCCAATCGAAAGGAAAAGTAATTCTTAATGTATATAGTGATTCCTTCCTTCGGCCCCACCCCTCTACACCCAGATGGTCAGCAAAACCATTTATTCTCTCTCACCAAAGAATGCTTCAGGTCAAACTAGGACAAAATCTTGATCTTCATACTGAAAAGGAATTTGCACCATTTCCCCCATTGGACCTCGCAACCTCGCACATTTGTAAAAAAAATCCAATTATTCCTACTGGAGGAGTAGGATTTAAAATTTCCACTTTTGGGGGCCAAGACCCACCATTTAAATAGGATTTGTCAACAATGCTTTTGGCCTAATTCAGTCAAAATCCTGTAAGTCATTTATCATTAATTGTAATTTTTAGGTAAAAAGATGACGGATGGACAACGGATGCTGCACGCTGTGGTAGGCTATAAGCTCACTCAGCCTTTCAAGCCAAGTAAACTTAAAATCTCCAGGTTCAAACAGAACTACAGAATGTCTGATTGGATTGAATGAAAACATCCATATTAAATCACATGCACTCTGGCTGTGAATTTGCTTGATTGCTAACAAATTCATGATTATGACAAACACAGACCTCACAGAGATAAAATTTGTTCTATCTCAATGGTCACCATGTCTGTCAGTGATATCCCCCTCCTGTGCCAGGGGGCCGATACCCACTATTTACACACATTTTTTTCGCCTTAACCCAAGAATGTTTCAGATTAAATTTGGGCAAAATCCAATCATTGCTGAAAAATTGATGTAGTGTCATATTTGACCATAGGTTATTTTTTCTTCAGCCTTAACATTAAACATGTGTAGAGACAGGTGTAACACAATCGGCTGACAAGTCATATCGTCACCATACATGAACACAAAATGGGAAAAGTGTAACAGTATTATTTTTAGATTTTAAATTTTCAGATAAGGAAGAGTTATCAGACGGAAATGACAAGGAGATAAAGGATAGAATATATTAGGCTTTGATTTCATATTGGAATACAATACCTTGTACAGGATATGTATGAACACAATTGTATTTACTCAAATCTTTATCTTATAATGATACTTGTCTTGTGTATTATGCACCTTTAAAATGAAAAGTCACACCAATATGAAGTGTACAAACAAACAATAAAATCTACATAAATATTTACCTCATTTTTTTTACAAATTCAACATTATGTTTTTCTCAATGGTCTCTTGAACAAGTTATAACGAGACATGTAAATGACTAGTTTGAAAATTGTAAAGCTACAGATCCTCGTATAAAATGTATACATAAATACAAAGTAATTTTATAGAACGAAAAATCCTAAAGATTCCCATAACAAACACATAGAATACCCTTGGTAAAGGTTGGTGTTGTATATACCATCTGTGTAGCATCAAAGCAATCTTATTTATACAATATGTAAATCAATGCACTCACTGAAAGGATGATATATAACATGTCTATATGTAACTTTAAATCTGAGACAAAATCCCTCATATGCAAGAAGATTGAACACTTTTATAGATGACTATCATCAGGCAAATCTGAAATTTTGAAAATATTTTCTATCAAATCAGTAAATCACTCAAAAAATTGAAATTCTTAATCAAGAGATTGCCACTGGTATTGCAATTGGATATTGAACCCAGAACAACATTAAAACCACAGATTACATAGAGTAAATGAAGATGCTTGATGACACAAAGTTCCAGTCCAGGTAATGTTGATGACACTGTCCTTGTTCCTAGTTTCAAATCATCATTGTATGCTACAAAGATGCATCCCACAAACTGAATTGCTCACTCCTACCACAGACCTGGCTTAAATAGCAGTCTTCTAGATCGTTGTACAAAACATGCATGTTCAGTAAGGAACCCTCAGTTTCAGAGGAACCCTAAGTTACATAGCATGACCCATAACCACAGGATTGGTCAGATTCTGTGAACTGTTATTTCAAAAATATTTTGCCCCCACCAAAATCCAGCGTCAAGGTTATATGTACACAGTATGCACATTAAATGTAAATCATAAATTAATCAGAAATGCAATTTGATTTAATCAGAGACAACTTGTAGCAGAATCAATTTCTAAGGTTGACTGATTTTTGATTGGCTAATAAGAAGGCTTGTGATTGGATTATTTCTTAACCAGCATGCGCACAATATTGTATGCCACAAATTGTACCATGTGCACTGATCTGTTAACACTAAATGCATTGATGCAACAGTAGAGATACATGAAATTTTACATCAGAAAAAATGACCTTACTGATATGTTATCTTTACTTTTTCAATTCTTATGATTGAAGATTTTGTACTCTTTGAATACATTATCAAATTCATGCTTGTATCCCTCGCATACTATATGTGTGACAGGTAAAAGATTTATAGTGTTTTATTATTGGAATACAAAGGCATGTTCTGTACAGATATCTTATAGATTTATATCAGATCTTTCACTCTGAGTAAGTATAAATACAGAAATAATTCATTAAGTGGATGCACACAATCCTTAAATGAATAGCAATAAACACTAGAGTAGGCAAAGTTTAACCTCATAATTAATATAGCTTTTAATAATTTCAGCTTCTTTTCCAATCTCCAATAGACCTTTATATTGTTTATTGAACAATAGTTCTTAAAATACTTTTTAAATAACTTCATATATTGGTGTTATCATATTAAGTACATAAGCTTTTGATGTCACTAACTTTATTTGTTGTTTTAAGATATTTAGTTTGAAGACGCTGCCCTTGAGAGTGATAAACAATGTACATGTGTGCCACCCACAATCAAGAAAAAAAATTACTCTCAATTAGTCAACCCATTCTATTAATAGCAACAGGAAATTTGGTACAATGTTGCATTATGATCATATCTGTGATATCGCTGACTATATTGATTATTTTAAAAGATATTTTCTAATGACTTTTACTGTCACAGATTGTCACATGTTGATCTTATATAGACCACTGAAAATAGATATCAGTGATCCAGTAATTCTGTGCATTCCACCAACTTGTCCCATCTCAGAGTATTAACTTCAAACCAGTGATGGTTCACAACTGAAACTCATCTGAATAGTGTCAGGAACATCTTGGCTGTCACTTTTATTAAGTTTTTAGGATAACGTTAACTTGTTACATAGTTATTGCATGCCATGCTACTTGTCTTGAAAGATGGTGGCATTATTTAAAGCATGTGATTGCCGCTAGGTGTTGTAGGTAACTTGCTGTAAAATTCAACCAATCAGAAAGATAGGACTGGTGGAATCTTTAACTGTGTTACATTTCCCCTAAAAACATTGAAATATTTTTTCAACCCATGAAAACCTTAGTCCCACTTTACATGTACTAAACTAGGGAAGTATGTACAGTTATTAGGTATTGATATCGTGGTACCAAAATACACAGGTCGTTATCAACAGGGTGTTTATCATCACACATGTTCTCAAATGAGTGCTCGTGACCCTGACCATGACATAAAGTATTGGGGGTGGAAAACTAGTCATACCATATTTGGTTTCTGTGTCAAAGCCCTGGTATTCTTGAGTATCTTTGTGCAAGTTTTTCATGTCATGGCAACAGTTTCCAGGCAACGACTACCATACATAAACCATAACATCAGTTGATAAATTGACAACTTGCTCGTCTTTATCAGGTAACTGTTGTCAACAAGTCATGCCTGTGACAACAAATAGGTCCATGTTTGCTTCTTTGACAAGTGAGGACAACTATGACTCTGTAAGAACCGATATCTTGGTGAAAAGTGACAATAATGTAACTGTTTCACCTAGACATCCCATGATTAATCTCATTTACATCAATCATGACCCTCTCACCACATCATCATATTGTGACCTTCTCACTGTCATCACTGAGAGTAACAACCACCAAAATATTGGCACTCTTGTCCTCCTTTGGACTAGTGACATTGATTCTTAACCTCCTTGGGACATGCCCTACAATATAAATCCTTAGACAAATGTTTGTCTTCAAGAGATGTTCATTTCTTGTATGACACAACATTTCAAATCCTTAAGACTGCAGTCTTTTTCAGTGGAAGACAATCATGTGTCTTAAAGTCATTCTGTGCCTGGACTACATCAGAACATCTGTCACAAGTCTTTCCGACGTTTTGGTGAAGCGAGTGTCAAGTTTGGCCTCTACCAGAGGATATCTGAGCTCATCAGTGGGCAATTATCCATTGTTTCTGGAGACCTCATAGTGTATAATAAGTAATCCCTTGTAGGGAGTGGTATCCATGACTCACTCAGGATTCTGTCACAGCAAAAGTTCATGAGGTCTCACAAATGGTTGCCCCACCAGATTACTCCTCACAGCACCATGATAAATATCTACACAACCATCACAGAACAAAGATTCAGATCAGTAACGTCCAGAAATCACTTGATTACTGGCTGAGCTTGACTAGATTTAACATCTAGCAAGACTGTCATAATGGTTTGATTTCCTAATGAATCTGAGGAAATTCTCTCAAGAGTGTACATTAACAAGACAATGAAGCATCCTGGGTAATATCACTGGAAATCCTAGATAATCAGGACTCTTTGCTGGCTTGTTTCTCCATCAAGGCAGACTTCCTGCGCTCTTTCCGTAGCTCTTTGAAGCGTTGATGGATAATTCTCTTCATAACATGATATTTGTACTGCAGTTGTGATATATATTCCTTTTCCTCTCTGTCCAGCACAAGTAAGAAGTTCTCCAATTCTGGTTTACTGAAGTTCTCCCACTGAAAATACAAGAAAGTACATTGTTAGCATGCTGAATTTCTCCTATTATGTCAATACATTGAACATTTGTGAGCTTAAGTTCTCCAACTAAATCATCATTTACTTACTGATATACATCAAAGTACATTGTAAGCTTCCAGAGTTCTACTGAAATATAACTCAGGAGTACATTGTAAGCTTACGGAGTTCTCCAACTGAAATATACATCAAAGTACATTGTAAGCTTCCAGAGTTCTACTGAAATATAACTCAGGAGTACATTGTAAGGTTACAGAGTTCTCCAACTGAAATATACATAAAAGTACATTGTAAGCTTACGGAGTTCTCCAACTGAAATATACATAAAAGTACATTGTAAGGTTACGGAGTTCTCCAACTGAAACATACATAAAAGTACATTGTAAGCTTACAGAGTTCTACTGAAATATAACTCAGGAGTACATTGTAAGCTTACGGAGTTCTCCAACTGAAATATACATAAAAGTACATTGTAAGCTTACGGAGTTCTCCAACTGAAATATACATAAAAGTACATTGTAAGCTTACGGAGTTCTCCAACTGAAATATACATAAAAGTACATTGTAAGCTTACGGAGTTCTCCAACTGAAATATACATAAAAGTACATTGTAAGCTTACGGAGTTCTCCAACTGAAATATACATAAAAGTACATTGTAAGCTTACGGAGTTCTCCAACTGAAATATACATAAAAGTACATTGTAAGCTTACGGAGTTCTCCAACTGAAATATACATAAAAGTACATTGTAAGCTTACGGAGTTCTCCAACTGAAATATACATCAAATCACATTGTAAGCTTACAGAGTTCTCCTTTTGGCAATACAACAAACCAGCCTAATGCAATTTCCTAAAGAGATATACATCCATATACATAGTGATTTTGGAAGATTTTCTTCAGGTTAGCAATGTCAACAGAATCTAAGTTCATATAACACAACCAGTAGTATGTATGAAGGTTCGATGACTGTCAGATGGACAGATGTCAGATGACCCAAGACCCTAGCAACTAACCAGATCTTAAGTCAGCTACCATTCTGAATGACTTTGATCATTTTTCCCTTCTTGATATATAGAAATATTTACTAAAATCAAGAATGAGGCTATAGAGATTGATATAATGAATAAGAATATAAGATTGATTCTCCTTCACCCAAGAATGCTTCAAACCAAATTTGGGAAATATCCATTCATTTTCAATTAACTCCTTTTCCCCTATTGGGCCCCACCCCTTCTGCCCCAGAGGCCCACACCAATTGTGTATATACTAATCATTCCTCTACAACCAAGAATACAGAGTGGGATTTTGAAGAATACAGAAGTTGAATTTGAATGAACTTGCTCTATAATCCCCAATGGACCCCACTGCTTTTACCTTTGGGGATATAAATCCTCTTTTTATACAAAATTGATTTCCCTTCACCCAGGAATGCCTCATACCAAATCTGGGCAAATTCAAATTCTTACAGGAAGAGAAGGATTTTAAAAGAATTTGCTACATTTCCCCCTCTTGCCCCAGAAACCCAACCCTTGGACAATATTGGAAAATATCTTGCTTTTCCTGGAGAACAAGATATATTTTAAAGAAAATGATAGATTTCCCCCATTTGGCCCCATCCCTCAGGCCCAAAGTGGCCAAGACCGGTCCTTTATACAAAACTGATTTCCCTTCATCCAAGCATACTTCAATGCAAATTCACACAATTTCTGAAAAAACAAGATGGATTTTTAAAAAATTGATAGATTTACCCCTATTAGGCTCCATCTTCAGGCCCCCAAGGATGCTTCTGACAAACTTTGGTTAAAATTTGTTGGCTTGGCTAACAACATTTTATAGAAAAATTTGACAGATGCTGGACAGATAATGGAATCCAAGGTAAACACTTTAGTATCTAGTTAATTTGGCCTTCTGGGCTAGGTGTACTAATAAAAGGGTCAAATCTATGTTTTTTATTTTGAATTTAAACATCTGCAAAGTATGTACTAAGCTTTAAAAAGAGGTCATACACCAAGACCTTTATGTGACCTCCTATAACTAGAGAAGTTAAGACAGATGTCCTACAGGTTCACCAACAAATGACCCATCACAATTAAAGAGAAATAGGTAGTTGGCATATTGGTTTTTGTGTACAGTGTTGTTCAGCTGCAGTCTATTTGTATGATACCTACTGGCAGAAGTGATAAAAACCAGGTGTGTGGGAGTCAGAGCACTGCACACTTATCCCCCATTATGCTTACAACTTTCACAGCCTGGACAAGATAAAACCTACATTGATCAAGGCATCCATGGCACATTAGGACTAGCAGTGTTAAAACAGTAGTATGAAAAAGGACTAGAATTCCCAATGACACCCAAACTCAAACTTGCCCTTTTAGACTACCACAGTTCCAATTGTCCCTGACTTACCCTCTAATCTCTACCTACTGATTATATACTTAACAAATAAACAAGAGGCCCAACTGGTCTGTATCCCTCACCTGGCTTTGCTAGGCTGAAATTGCTTCAATAAAACTAAACAAAAAGGAATTTAAGACTAACTGTTCATACCAAATTGATTTCCCTTCCCTCAAGTATGTTTAAGATTTGATGAAAATCTATTCAGTTGTTCATGACTACAGTAAAAGCCTGTGTAATATGCTCACCTACGTAACGTGTGCAGGTACGTTTTGGGTTGAAAATAGTAAAAAATGCTTCTATTTGCATAATGTGCTCACCCAAAAATTCAGTCAAAATCCATCCCTGGCAAAGAAATCTATCTCAGAGTGTTCAGCTTTTTCAAAATTTGTTTTCATCTCATTTACTGACTTTTAATTGCCTGCTGTTTAATTACAGTTGCAATAAAATTGAAGAAAAAAAAACTGCCTTATGTTTGTGTACTTCTTGTTTGTTTCATTAAACATCAGACACATTACTCTTCATCATTCACTTACCTATACAATAAACCTACGTCAATTTATCTAACGTACACAAACACCTGTCTTCATATTAGGCCTAATCAACAGTGTTCAGTATTAAAATCACAGGTACAAGTCATTATTTACCTATTTATGACCAAACCAGGTAAATATGAACTCCACGAGTCAAAATTTCTTTCATGTCTCACTGTCACATAGTGAGACCTCTAGCTGACATAAACTTTGTATATTCAGATATATACATAACAGAGCATGGAATGGTATTGCATGGAATGTACTGTAGGCATGTACATGCGTATTGTCAAAAGAAAAACACTGTTTCATTAAACATTTTGCGCTAAGACTATTTCCTTTCTATTATTATAGATATTCTTCATAAAAATTTGTGCTGGTTTGATGGTTTGGTGTTGCATGTGCAGTGGACCAATACGTTGTAATTAGCCAAGTGTTACGCACAGAAGACTTTCTTCTCTGTGTATGAATTGACCGATGTTGTCACAAGAAGTGACGATGTTTTGACAAAAATTAATTTTGAGACTATGACTGATTCTTCCCTTGCTTGACAATTGATTTTCAAATTTGACTCTAATGGTTTGTATTGACATGTTCTGTAATCATTTTGTTTACTATTGTTGCTCCTAAATAAATCATTAAACCATTTTAGTGTCAACTTACAGGAAAAGTTGACAAATGACAGAAGGACAGACTCAAATTCAGATTCAAATGGTTAATAAATCCTTGCAGAGTCTTGTGAACATAAACTCAAACATCAAATTTGGTGAAAATCTAACTGCAAGTAAGCAGTGTGCAGAAAGTGATAAAATGGTATTTTCAGCATTAGTCCAATAACTATTGCAGTGATGGATGAATATGTTATCAAACTCATGTTAGGTCTAATTGATAATAGCGCACATACGAAAATTGCAGAATAACTTAGAAATACACATGTTACAGTGCAAAAAGTAAGAAAATTGTCAATTATCATCATTCAAAGTTCCATAACTCATGCAAATATTGACAATGGTTATCGAACACATTCAAGGTCTCATGAATATAAAGCCACATAACAAACAAAGTTTGGCGTGAATTTGACGACAAATACACAAGTTATTTTGTGGAAACAGACTCACAGACAAGCTGATTAAGATACGGCACCCTCATCTCGATGCCCGACCCTAACAATATGTTCAGTTTTCCCTTCTTGGGAGTTACAAACCTTATTTTCACTATAATACATATATATGAACCGTTGGTCAGGAATTCTAGCCAAGTCCCTTTGTGACTTACCACAATTTCTCCTGTTTCATTTTCCTGAAGGACAAGCCTTGTACACAAAAGTCGCTCCTTCTCCCAGTGGACACAAGTAGACAAAAGGTTCTCACTGCCAGGCAGCCTCCGCAGTTTCACTGTAACATCAATGACAACAAGGTATACAACAAATGAACCAACCAGCAAACTAATGAGTATCAAACACGTCCAGCTTCATATCCCACAAAGACTGTAAAACTTTCCCATTACTTTCATCAACCTGCATCTTTTGAAACCCTGTATTACATGTTTGTCCTTCAGTTGAAAACTTCTTGCCTGAAAATCATGATATTGAGAACATTCCCTTGGATATCAAATCAACTGCTATGTGTAAACACCAAAGGTTGTGGATGTAGGACTGTTGCTTTCCAGAAATGGAAAATTCATGATAGGGAAATTGAAATCATCATGCAGCTTGGAAAGAGGCTGTCTATATTGGTCTTGTTGTAGGGAAAATTGAGATAAATGACTGATGTAGTCCCCCAAGGGGGAAATGTGAGACCCTCGGGCCTTGAAATTCCCAATTTCAATAAAGCATCTTAACATGCTTCCATCCATGAAGACCATTTGATTTGACCATATCTGGGTAGTAATAACTGCAAATAATTCACTGTTTTGATTCATCTTTGGAGAGGTTTCTGCAGAATTTCATTGAAATCATTTCAGGGGTTTTTGAACAGAAGTCAGAAGTGTTAAAAAGTTTATGGATGCACAACACATGATGCAAGAGAAAAGGTGATCGCCATAGGCCTTTGTTTCAGGTCACCTAATAAATGAAAGTCGATGTGTGCTGTTTTTCTGTCAGAAAAAGTCAGCTCATCGTTTCAAACTTACCTGAAGTACCAGCATCTGAAAAGTAGAGACGTAAAATCTGTAAACTATGGTAATTAAATCTATAGCAAGTAGTTGATCTCACCTATTTTACCCTTGGGACTGTGTTCCTGCTCATACAAGGCAAACTTCCTGGGATGATCGAGGATGTGGAACTTCTTCAATAACAGTGAGATAACATCTGTGGCTGTCGTATCACTGAAACAAAATCACAAATGCTGTTAGTGACACTTTACTAAAACATCAAGTCAATACATATTTACAAACCAAAGAATCTATTGCACCAACAAACCCATGTCTGACAATATCCCCAACCATATTTACTGTAACAACAAGCCAATTTGCCTTAACAGCTGTCTGACAATAAAGACCTATATATGATAGAGGTCAATTGACCTAAATTGCTTGACTACTCTGCAGCTTACAAAGAAGATATTGTCAGATCATAAAAACATTTTCTACAAATGTGAAATTCTATTCATTTTACATGCTACTACAAAAATACCATGGCTTCAAATCCAACACTTGTTGAAAAAGAAATTTAAAGATCTCAATTAATTTCATCAAAGAAACCTTGAAAGTAGTTCAAGATCATTCATTTTAATAAACTTGCACAGTGGATAGCGCATGAAGACGGGACAAAACATGACAGCTATGGGTCATCATGACCCTTTCGGTCAGATGGTCTTAAAATGTCGCTAAATATTAACATTTCACTTTAATAGAGTTTAACACTTTTAAAAGGGTTGCATGGTCATAAAGCGATCAATTAAATATAACCAATGACATCTTTACATTAAACGGGGAAACTGAACAGGGTCACATTTTTCATCTATATACTGGTTAGATACTTTAAGTCCTGATGACACACACCAAGGATGCAAAAAACTGGTAAAATTTGAGAGTTATCCTAACATTACAACGTTATTTTACCCCGTATAGGAGAACATGGACAAGAAATATAAAAAACTTGCTATGAGTTTCAAGACCTATCTCACTGAAGTAAACATATTTCAGTATTTACATCACCTATAAACACATGTTATGTTAACTGCAGTGCTGACAGATAAACTGTGGAGAGGAATGATAATATTTATCCGAGTTCTAAGAGTAACCTATGAGACTCCGCTGCATCACTTTTCAGAGTTACCAACAACATTTACATAATAACATAAATAAAATACAGTATTACCATATCTCAGAGTGAAATATCAGGTCATGAGCAGCTAAAACAAAAGGCCAATAGGGCCTGTATTGCTTACATAAACAATAGTGCTAAAGCCCTTAACAGTTATCTGATGGATAGACAGAACCCTACCAACAGATCCCTAGGCATGAAATAAACTTTCTTAATATAAGAAATAATAAACCCCCTTTAACAATGTTGCAGACAAAATCTGGTTAAAATCTACCCAGGCATTAAGGCGGCATAGCGTTATAAAGCAAAATATTGACTACCTTTGCCTTTTGTTGTTGAAATCTGTCATTAAATCTAATCCTTCGTACAGGAAAATAAGATTTTAAAACTTAAATCAACATGAGATTTGGAATACAAATGTGTATAATGATCATACTAATTACTTGTCCTTTGATGTCCCAAAATGTTAATAAGTATTTAGCAGATCTTGCTCATTGTCACTAGTTCACACTTTTGAGTCGGTGGTTAGGTAATTGGCTGTACCGTTGTACAACAGTGCTAATGAGTATGCATGTCGACAAGGTAGGTGCTTAGGTAATTGGCTGTACCGTTGTACAACAGTGCTAATGAGTATGCATGTCGACAAGGTAGGTGGTTAGGTGATTGACTGTACCATTGTACAACAGTGCTAATGAGTATGCATGTCGACAAGGTAGGTGGTTAGGTAATTGGCTGTACCGTTGTACAACAGTGCTAATGAGTATGCATGTCGACAAGGTAGGTGGTTAGGTGATTGACTGTACCGTTGTACAACAGTGCTCATGAGCATGCATGTCGACAAGGTAGGTGGTTAGGTAATTGGCTGTACCGTTGTACAACAGTGCTCATGAGCATGCATGTCGACAAGGTAGGTGGTTAGGTGACTGGGTTTACCGTTGTACATCTGTGCTAATGAGTATGCATGTCGACAAGGAGGAGCATAGTGTTTTGTGTTCAAACTTTTCATTTTGATGAATAACAGAATATTTTGAACAGTATAAAACTTGAAAAACAAGGCACATTATATGATGTGTTTTTCAAATGGATCTATTTTGAATAGCTCACAGGTTTGATAACAATCTCTAAGGTGAGTTGTGGTTCCTTACACACACGTTTGAACAACATGATTGCATAATGTCTCTGAACTGGTGATAGTGAACTGTAGCGTTAGTATGCTATAGCTTAAACAGCTTAAAAAGTTGATGGGCACCAGACTGACCCCATGCCATAGTTTACCCTTGCACAAGGTGAGCTAACAATGGAGACTGCTTTTAGACGAGACATTTGTCTTTGTGAATCACTGTTAAATGGCCAACCCATTATTGTCAGTGTAATTCTATACCTCAAAATATTACAAATGTAAACAACATTACACAGTAAAAACTGATGCTCACAGACTAAGGAAAAAAGGTTGTATCTTATTATCTAACTTGTGAGATATATTTCGGGGATGATGTCAATTCTGGAGCAGACAGCTAGCACTGTATGAAGGTGAGACGCACAGGATATAACAATGTCTTAGGAGAGCATTGTGTTACAGTACACAATACGCTTGATGTATCCTTTGTTTCAAACAAATCTATAATCCAACAGATAGGATGGGCTGGATTATAAAACAGGAACAAGAAACTACATATGCCTGTCTGAATCATCCCAACATTAATTGCATAATAAAATGTTTTATTAAGGGAAGTTCTTCACAATGTCTTTTATTTACAGACATTAATATCATATGATGCTTATAGTTACACATGAAAGGGTTCTTAAGAGAATGTATTGTGAATGTTGAAAGCTAACTTACTCATAATAGAAAGTCTGGATGAGGCCAAACAAGTATACACCAGCCAAGTGTTCATAAACTAAGGTACAAACAAGTCAAGTATAAACCAAATACACCCTAATCAAGTATAAACCGAGTACACCCTTATCAAGTATAAACCGAGTACACCCTTATCAAGTATAAACCGAGTACACCCTAATCAAGTATAAACCAAATACACCCTAATCAAGTATAAACCGAGTACACCCTTATCAAGTATAAACCGAGTACACCCTTATCAAGTATAAACCGAGTACACCCTTATCAAGTATAAACCGAGTACACCCTTATCAAGTATAAACCGAGTACACCCTAATCAAGTATAAACCAAATACACCCTTATCAAGTATAAACCGAGTACACCCTAATCAAGTATAAACCAAATACAACCTAATCAAGTATAAACCGAGTACACCCTAATCAAGTATAAACCAAGTACACCCTTATCAAGTATAAACCGAGTACACCCTTATCAAGTATAAACCAAGTACACCCTAATCAAGTATAAACCGAGTACACCCTTATCAAGTATAAACCGAGTACACCCTAATCAAGTATAAACCAAATACAACCTAATCAAGTATAAACCGAGTACACCCTAATCAAGTATAAACCGAGTACACCCTTATCAAGTATAAACCGAGTACACCCTAATCAAGTATAAACCAAATACACCCTTATCAAGTATAAACCGAGTACACCCTTATCAAGTATAAACCAAATACACCCTTAACCAAATACACCCTTATCAAGTATAAACCAAATACACCCTAATCAAGTATAAACCCAGTACACCCTAATCAAGTATAAACCCAGTACAAACCAATATATTATGAACCAATTGCACACAAGTCATGCGTGTAAAAAGTATACATAGCCAAATGTGTAAGAAACATACACCAGTCAAGTGTTCTTAAACTACGGTACAGACTGGTACACATTGGCTGTTCCATCTCAAATGCAACAGTTATGGAAACATTACCATAGGATGATGCAAAAGGTACTGAAATCCTATGGAAATGCTATAGAAGTCGTATGTATTACACTGAATAAATGCTGAGAAAATCGTCTGGTTTTTGAAAAGATCTGAAGGCCATTTGATCTTGTGAGAAATGTTGATTCACACGCTACAATATACTTAAGTGATTTTATTATAAGTTTAAACCAAAGCAGCATCTCGAACATATATGTAGATGATGTATGTGAAAGGATTACTGAAACTTGAATTTAATGTACGTCAATTTGTCTATTTCTATAAAAACAAATTGCTTCAGATGCTGGTATCCATTGCAACAGCTACCATGGCATGTTATCGATTTTTACAGGTAAACACCCCTTGGCATCATCTATATGTTTGCAGGGTACACCTGGACGCTGATTATCTCAGGTGACTGCATTGAAGGAAAAAGAAAATCTGTCAATCTCTGACCAATGAATACATACTTAACTACAGACTTAGGAGTTAAGTTATTTTCATTGTCGACCATATCATATAAAAAAAAGGCTTTAACAGATGTGACATATATATAATATAGCAGACAAAATGATGTCATTGAGTTGATGTATTACATATATACAACATATAGACTCTGTTAATGTCAGACCTTGGATTTATACAAAAATTAATTCCTTCTGCCCAATTAAATTATCTTTGAACACAAGGTGATGAAGAAGACAAACTTCCAAGCTATTCCATCATTCACCCATATAGACACAGAGGGGGTCTGACCATCCATTTTTACAAAACTGGGTCTCTTTTACCTCAATCAAAGTACTAAAAAGTCCTGTAAATGAACATTTTTGTAAAGTACAGACAAACGTCATTTTCAGAAATTTGATGACATGTAGTGCATATAATCAATGAAGCTCATGCTCTTTATATAATGCTTAATATGAAGGAGAGATGTGAAAATTCTCTCTGAAGTTCTCTAATCCTCTTATATCTGGAATACACAACTAGCCACTTCCTAAACTAACATGTTCAGTCTTCAGACTACATGTCAACGTGGGTCAACATCATTCATTTCAGCAAACTGTATAATTCTTTAATCTAACATTGCTTCTAGTCAAACATCATGCATGACCCTAAGCCTTTCTGACATTCTGAGGTCCATGGGCCTTAACAATCATATGACTATAAGGACCTATATAAGATAGAACAGAAGTAGTGGTTCATTTAATAATTCAAAATTTAATGTACTTCACACAATAATGCTTCAAACAATATTTGGGCAAAATCCAATCATTCCCACAGGACAGGTAGGGTTTTAGAGAATTTGCTATATTTCATATTTTTTGGCCTTGCCCATCCCAGCTCTGGGCCCAAGAGCTATCATTTATACAACACTGATTCCCCTTTGACAAAGGATGCTTCAGACTAAATTTGGGTAAAATCCCATTACTTCAACAGAAAAAGTAGGATTTTATATTATTTACTGTATTTCATTCAGAAATGTATGAGTTACATGCCTGGTAATTGGACAGTGAGCACATTATCTTACCTGGTAACATGGATAGACTTGCAAGTGTCCCGTGGCATGTAGAAGGACACAGTCAGTGTGTTTTGTTCCACGATGTGCTCCTTGGTAAGCATTTCATAGATGGACGGAGGACGTGCACCGAGAGACATGCAGATTGGTCGGATGAGATTCAACACAACCTTGATAAACCCTTGGAATGCTTCATCTTTTTCTTCCTTCTGAATATAAATAACAATGCAATTGTCAAGCCTTACAGGCACATGTAACATGAAGAATTTTACACAAGTCTCACATTGACATATGAATCTTTCAACTTATTCTTATCCTGAAAACCATACACTTGAAATTTTCTTATAAGGAAAACCCAGTGCTCTACTGGTATGGTTATTGTAGAAAAAATACTTACCAGTGCTACATTAGCAGCAGGAAATACACTATTATACTCTTCAATCTTGCGTTTAAGTTCCTCTCGGTTAAGGGTGGCCTGACTCCGTTTCCGAGGCAACTTTTCATCAGGTATTGTGCCTGATCTATACCCGCTGTCTGTTTCATCTTTCTCCTTTAAATAATCATAGAGTGTCAGCTTTATTGGTAAGGTTATGGATTAGCATACAAACAATCAATAAAAAGCTCATAAGGGCCCGTATTGCTCACCTTGTTAGCTTTGTTCAGATTGTTTTATCTAAACTAAATGAAAAGCATTTAAAAGATTCATATCTATTTCCCCTATTAGGTCCACACCTTTGCCCCATGGGAATCACATGAACCATTTATACAAAATTAAATTCCCTTCACTCCATGTTGCTCAGATAAAATTTCGGCAAATTCCATTCATTTCTACAGGAAGATTAGGATGTTAAAGAATTTGTTCTATTTCCCCTATTGGGTACAGTCCCAGTGGACAAGACCCAACATTCATAAAAAACTGATTACCTTTCATACAAAAGCCAAAATCCAATCATTCCTACAGGAGGAAAAGGATTTTAAAGAATTTGCTCTATTACCCCTATAGGGCCGGTCTTCTCCCCTCCCACCCAAAAGGGCCGAGACCAACAGTTTAAACAAAAATTCATTAACCTTTACCAAAGAATGGTTCAGACCAAAGTTGGAAAAAATCCAATCATTCCAGTGGGAAATATACAACGTTATGCTCAAATATACAATTTTCTATAAAACTGTAGTAAACTTCACCTCCTCCCCAGGGAGAAAAATCTGGGACACATTGGTCACGAAATTCACAATCTCCACTGAGTACCTTAAAACTCTTCCATTCACAAAGAACATTTGATTCTACCATATCTGGGTGTTGAGAAGATTTTTGAAATTTGAGTCAATTTGACCCCTTTTGGCCCCATCAATCTGCCCTTGAAGATAACTCAGTGGTCGCAAATCCTACATGTACAGAATATTTGCCTTTCACTGATGTAAGAAAACTAAACATGGTTATGAATTCATTCAAAGTATTGGATTCAAGAAAGAAAAATATAAAAGATATATTTGAAGAGAAGTCTGAGCATATTGATAAATTCGATCTTGAGATGATAATTATTTCTTGTAGTATGGTTTACAAGTAATATTGGGTCCAGTCTGAGACCAGGAGTCATTATAGCAGTAATGAACATGCGGCGTTCTGATTGGTCAAATGTGAGATATTTTATGAATGAAAGCAGTAGTTCCAAAATTTCTTGCTAAATGTCTTCATGGCTCAAATCATATACTTGAATTGTTTGTGTCCAAAATTAGTCCTAGTTGTGTCGAACTGGTGGTCAGGGGGATGAATAAGCTCTAAATTAGAGTTTTTAGGAAAATACTAGGGCATTTGTAACCCCAGTGAATGGTGTCATTCAAAGGCCTCTTTGAAAGAGCTAACCAAAATGGTCACCTGTAACCAGGCCACAATACTACTGTAGTATCAGTCACTTCATTCTGACAAAGAGCTAACCAAAATGGTCACCTGTAACCAGGACACAATACTACTGAAGTATCAGTCACTTTATTATGACAAAGAGCTAACCAAAATGGTCACCTGTAACCAGGCCACAATACTACTGATGTATCAGTCACTTTATTCTGACAAAGAGCTAACCAAAAATATTTAAATATATATCATCTACATTGAAATGATGGATCAAACAGACAGAAAAAATTTGCAGAGAAGCAAGATCAAATCATTTTGATAGCATCAGCCACTCCAAACAATCTACTGAAATATCTGATACAATCTATGATTTCATGTCACCATAATGGTTAATCTTAATAACTTACATTTGTGGCCTCTGATCCTGTGTCAGTTGTGGTTGGTTGGTCAGGTGGGTCTGTGAGGGAAGTTTCCACAGAATTTGGGTCAGGAGGAAGTCCTTCATCTACAGGTGATGCCTTACATCCGAGTCGAACCAAGGGACCACACTTCTGATGACATGTGAACTGGCAATCTATTAGGGCAAAAGAAATTTCAACATGAAAAACATTAAGTAGATCATTGACAAATGAAAAACCTGTAAATAAGATAATGTCCACACACATAAAGAGACTGAAAACATAGCATATACCCAACTTCTTAAATACTGCAGTATCCCTCACTTAAGTACGTATTCTTTTGACATGTGACCAGAAGTAAGACACAGACTCATCTGGCTTTACTTGGCTGAAATTGCTTCATTAAAACTACAGGAAAAGGAATTCAAAATTATCAAAGCACACACCATATAACATATCTGTTTACAGGGTCAGCCAAACTGTTCATACTTCAGACCAAAGCCTTCCTACAGGTGATGTAAGATTTTAAGAATATGCTTTATTTCCAATATTGGGTCCTACCCCTCCCACCCCAATGAGACCTCAAAAAATGCTTCTCAACAAATTCAGTGCAAAATCCAATCATTCCCAAAGGAGAAGAAGGATTTTAAAGAATTTTCCCTATTGAATCCTTCCCCTTCTGCCTCAGAGAGCCAAGCCTAACCATTTATTCAATTTGATTCCCCTCTACCCAAGATTGCTTCTGACTGAATTTGGGCAAAATCCTCCAGCCCCAGGGGGACAAGACCCATGGTTATTACAAAACTGTCGTTCACCCAGCTATGCTTCAATCCCGATTTGGGCGAAATCTGATCATTTTTATAAAAGTAGTGAGATTTTAAATCATTTGTTCTATTTCCCTATTGGGCTCTGCCCCTCAGGCCCAGGGGGCGGCAACCAACTCCTTATACAAAATTGATTCTTTTTCACCAAGAAATGCTTCATACCAACTTTTGGTATAATTCAATAATTCCAACAGGAGGATTCAGATTTTTAACAATCTGCTCTTTTTCCAATACTGGGAAAGGCCAAGTCAAGCCAGGTCCAGTGCTGCCCCTGCTGCCCCTATGAGATGAGACCCACCATTTATACAACATATATTCCCTTTCACCCAAAAATGCTTCAGACTAAAGCATTCCTACAAGAAAAGTAGGATTTTATAGAATTTGCTCTTTTACCCTTTTGGCCCCCTGCCCCTCTGGCCCCAGGGTCCAGAACTCCCATACAATGTGTCCACAATGTTTTGGGTTTGTTGAACGTTCCTATAACTGTAGGCATATAGAATATAAAATAAAAACATAAACTTTGTTTTTTTTTACAACAACTGTGAAATATGATCCCTGAGTCATAATCTTACAAGTAGACATGATCCTATATCTATAAGTACCAAAGAAAGTACACTGTGATGGGATGTAATAAATAAAATCACCAATGTTCTCTTGTCATCTACTGAATAGAGCTTTTACTTTCAATTATAATCTGTGGTCGGGTAACAATGAGAACTTGTTGATCAAGATCAGGGAAACTTTCCAATAACTGAAAACTTTCATCTCCTTACAGCATACTTAAATCACCATTAATCACTACACACAATCATCCATGGAAGAGATGATTGGTCATTCTTCCGCAATTTAGGTTTTCCCAGTGAATAGCCTGCGTGTAAGACCGTATAATCTGTCCAATTATCCCTATAGGTTTTCAATCTGGGAACTACAATCTGGCTCTAAAGTACACTACAGTATTACAGGGTATCATATAGACTAGTACAACATTATGTCACACCACCACACTACCAGGACCTCATGTGGTCTTAAGCTGTCTAGTATCAGCCTGTCGCTCCCATTCACCTCTAAGCCTAAAACATGATCTCAGACCACTTGACATCATAATCTACTAATAAATAACTGGAATAGGGTATTAATTAAAGATCTTTAACAAAGTACAAAACGATTCTTACATGTTTAATGTGTAAATTTTATCGACAGATCTAATCCAGTAGTGTTAATGTATTATCATAGGAAGATTCTCTAGAATCAAGGGGCTACAGACCAATTTTCAACACAATTTTGTAAAAAGTTTAACTGGATTTTCAATGTTATTTTTGTGATACTTTACATAGGCTTACCAGAACTGTGATAACTTTTTCATCTTATTCTATAAATAATTCAAATTTCACCCTAACATGCAGCTGCAGTTTTCATGTTTGAATTCATAATCTATTGATAGGCCTTGTGTTAATACCACTAGTGCAGTATATAAACTTTTGCATTTGCAGTCACTATATATACCTTCCAATCTCCACTTTTTTCCAACTCTTTCTATAAAATGGTGGAAACAGGAGGCCCAGAAGGCCTCTATTGCTCACCTGGTTAATTTCACTCAAATTGCTTCGTCCAAATTAAATGAAATGCATTTGAAAGATTTCTATCTATTTCCCCCATGTGGCCAATCTGATTTATACAAAGTTCCCATCACTCATTGTCAATAATAATTTTACTACATACCTGTAAGCTCCATTAGACAATCATGTCCTCAATGAGGGTTATATCATATTACAATATTTTACTTGTCTGTATTAATCAGACAACAAACCCATGTGGTATGTATTGTCCAGTAATAAGTTAACCCTCTTCCTGGAGTTGATAATTTTGTGTTGGCCACCAGGACTTCAAAAGCATAACAGAGTACTGTTCCTGAACTACAAATCACATGTAAAAATTCTATAATGAGCTAAACTCTCTTGTCTGTGACAGTAAGTGAAATATACTAGAAACTGAATATAACTCACCAATCTCCCACTCCTGATTTCCATCATAACTAGACCTGTCACCCTGAGGAGATTAATAATACCCCCTCCCATACAATCTTCTGAGGCAAAGACCTCTTCATACTCTTTTTTAATCGAAACTCAAAAGTAAAAAACAGCTGAAAATTATTTTTTGACAGTCCCTAATACCTCTATATACAAAATAAGGTAAAAAAACAGACATCTAAATTTCATCCAATAAGAGACCACAATTTGCCTCAGTATAATTGTCATAATAATACAACCGATACAGTAATGTTTTGCATCCCAATCGCCTCTATAAACCAAATTTGATCAAAATCAGGCAATGTCTAAATTTCAACAAAACAAAGGCCACCATTTGCCTAAGCTATAACCCTATATGCCAAATTTGAAAAAAAAGGAGATAATTTTGACCAACCAGAGGCCAAGATTGTGTTATCATAGTCACAATTTCTGAAACACCTAACATGTTGTACAATAGGTTTTAATAAGTTATACAATTCAATAGAGTTGCAAAGTCACTTCATGGAGCAAATCTCCATATTGTACTGGCCATGCTCCCTGAAAACAACTTTGTTGGAAACAAAATTTTAACAATGTGCAATAATTCTGTAATTAAGAACTAGTAAACTGCACATGCTCTTAGTATGACCAATGTATATACCAAGTTTCATGATCCTAGTTTTAAGGAAAGCAAAGCTATGCTCATGACACAAAACAAAGCAAAGCTAAGCCTATGACACAAAGCTTTACCAAAGGGCAATAACTCTATACAGAGGGATCATGAGCCCTGACTTTGCACACTACACCTTGCTTTTGTACGACTGACGTATACATCACGTTTCAAGATCCTAGATTAAATGCAAGGAAAGTAATGCTCCATGCACAAAATGTTAACAAAGGGCAACAACTCTGTAACTAAGAACCCTGAATTTGGTACATTGCACATCGTCTTAGATGACCATGTATGCACCAAGTTTAATGATGCTTGCTTAACTGTAGGGAAGATTATGCTCTCCAGACACAAAAGAAAGAAAGAAAGAAAGAAAGAAAGAAAGAAAGAAAGAAAGAAAAAGAAAGAAAGACAGAAAGAAAGAAAGAAAGAAAGAAAAAGAAAGAAAGACAGAAAGAAAGAAAGAAAGAAAGAAAGAAAGAAGAAAGAAAGAAAGAAAGAAAGAAAGAAAGAAAGAAAGAAAGAAAGAAAGAAAAAGAAAGAAAGAAAGAAAGAAAAAGAAAGAAAGAAAAAAGAAAGAAAGAAAGAAAAAGAAAGAAAGACAGAAAGAAAGAAAGAAAGAAAGAAAGAAAGAAAGAAAGAAAAAGAAAGACAGAAAGAAAGAAAGAAAGAAAGAAAGAAAGACAGAAGGAAAGAAAGAAAGAAAGAAAGAAAGAAAGAAAGAAAGAAAGAAAGAAAGAAAGAAAGAAAAGAAAGAAAGAAAGAAAGAAAGAAAGAAAGAAAGAAAAAGAAAGAAAGAAAGAAAAAGAAAGAAAGACAGAAAGAAAGAAAGAAAGAAAGAAAGAAAGAAAAAAAGAGGTGATGGATGAGGCATCAACTAAACGCTCCCACTAATATTTTTGGGGAGCATAAAAATCTTTCAAAAAACCACTAGTAATGTGTAATGCATAGTTCGGCAAAGTTTGTCTATGAACAGAAAGATGGCCAAACAAGGTGATTCCAGTTTAACATTCCCCCTCCCCCCATCCTCCTTTCCTCCTCCTTTTGATGTGGGAGGTATAATTATGCAAAGGCATTACTTGGTATCATCTTTTGTTAGAGGAGCCAAGAATCTTTTCTTATTTCATTTTTTTTTATGTAGAGAAGCATTGTCAAGCTGTATTATATAAATATCCTTCGTCAGGTAATACATATCTGGTGTGGCTATCAGAATTCAGATTGTCCTCTAAATGACTTTCAAGTAAGTGATGCTTTGTTACTCCAATGACCTATTTTAATACATTACAGAGTAAAAAAAAATTTAATTCACACATACACCCTAACACACACATTTATCATGTGGTGAATTTCAACCTAGGCATCATTTGTACATTTAATTTCTGTTGGATACTAATACATCTGAATTTAATTTTTTAATTAATTTTCCCATTTAGCATATCACACATCACTCACATTCTAAAGGAAAAATGAAGTTTCATGTCAATGTTTTCAGAATTGGTGGCCATGTAGGTGCTTGTAGCACAAGTTACAGAAGCCTTAACTCCTATCTATAATTTGTTACTTCTTAGACTTTTGCATAGCAACTAAATATAAACCTATTGAAAGAAAAATGAGATACAAGTCTTATATCTTAATAGCTAATTCCAACAGCTAGTTAGAATTTTCTATTACATGAA